ACGTAAGCGTGCTCAAAATCCCGATAGTGCACGCTGATAGCGTCAGCAAATCCGACTACGCCAGAATTTTTTTTTTTCGCGCGAGCGGCCATTGTTAGCGCGGGGAAATATAATATATTTCGCGACAATAATGGATACAAACAGAAACTCGGCCTACTAGTCCGAAAACGAAGACAATGTTTCGACCTTTTCCCTTGGGCTAGTGTTCTTAAATGAGGCAGAAAAAGAGAAAAACAAAGGAAAAGGAGACTTGGCATCAGCGCCGTCACGATTCGTTTCAACTGATATTGTTGTCCGTTTTTCGCGTGGATTTGATGCACAATTCCACCGGCTATGTTCTAAAACAATTGGTTCATGCTTTCAGCTGTGCACTATCGAGTTATGGAGCACGTAGGAAGTTTGGAGAGTACTCAAGAAGCTAGAGTTGCCCTCGGCTTTCGCCTCGGGCAACTCTTACGCTTCTTTTGTGCTCTCCAAACTTCCCGCGTGCTCCATAACTCGATAGTGCACGCTAAAGCATGAACCAATTGTTAATTAGATATCTCAGATCAGGGAAAAAAAACTTTGTGTCCCGAACATGTGCCTAGTCTCCTAACTGCGCATGCGCTAGACCATTGCGTAAGCTTAGCTAATGTAACATCTCCAACCTAAGAAAGGCTAAAAACGGAAATCTAAGTTTCTAACAAAAGTTAACAGCCAAACAAAAAAAAAGGAAAGAAAACAGAAACAACAAAAATAACAATAAAAACAGTTTATAAGTGTTTCTCTGAGTTTTTCTTCATCAGTGTTCGGACAGCAAAAGGAAGCTTATAAGTCTAGTTTAGATGGCTCCTTTACAATGCGGCCACTCCTGGTTGTCCTAGGCAACTTGTCACTGTCTTGGTTGGAAGGTAATGGTGACTTGGCAAGTGCCTGAGGTAATTCAGACGATGACGTCTGAAGAGGTAAGGGCTTTGTCTCGTGGCTGTCCGGCAGTGTACTCTCCTGGTTGCTAATAACTTGTTCTCCACAGGTTGTTGGTGTTTTCTGGAAAGGTAAAGGCTTTAGCTGGACTCTGTTGCGTCTTAGCTCAGACCCACTCGCTGTCTTGACTATGTAGGACCTTGGTTTACTGGTCTCTTCCTTTACCTCTACGGCAATCCATTCCTTGGTCTGTGATTGGAACACAACTACTTGCTCGCCTTGATTTAGTCGTCGAAGCGTATGTATCCCTTGGCGGTCGTACTGGTTTCTCTGGGTGTCCTGTCGATTTTGTAGTTGCTCTCTGCGGCTATCAAAAGCTTGTGAACGTTGGAGATGGCCACTGCATGGCAGTTGTGTGCGGTAATCTCTATGGTTCAGCAGCTGAGAAGGTGACGGTAAGTTGCTGTCTACAGGTGTGGTCCGGTATGTCAGCAATGCTAAGTATGGATCTTGTCCCGAAGCTTCTACTCTTCGTAGAAGGTTCTTTACCGTCTGGACTGACCGCTCTACGAAACCGTTGCTTTGTGGATACAGTGGTGAGCTTGTCACATAGTCAATGCCCCACTGCTTGCACAGGGCTGCAAATTCTTGAAAGTTGTACTGTGAGCCATTATCAGATATCAAGGTTTCTGGTACCCCATTTTCTGAAAATATTGACTTGAGATGGTTAATGACAGCAGTAGATGTAGTGGAGCTCAGCTTTCTCATGATGGGGTACTTGCTGTAATAATCTGTTACCAACAGATATTGCGCGCCTTGGTAGTCCAACAAATCGGTGGCAAGTTTTTGCCAAGGAAAACTGGGTACACAGTGAGGGTGTAAGGGTTCCTTTGGCTGGCGTTTAGAAAACTGTATGCAAGTGGCGCAGTTGGAAGCCATTTCATTAATATCCTTTGAGATACCTGGCCAAAAAACACAGTCTCTAGCTTTCAAGTTACACTTTTCTGCCCCCAGATGGCCTTGGTGAATAATCTGAAGTATTTGAGGACGCATGTTGCTTGGAATCAGAAGACGATTTCTCAGTTCAAGATGAGGCCATTTTCAACACTTAGATCTTCTCTGAAGTTCCAAAACTCTTTCAGGTTAGCAGGACATTCGTTTGGATATTCAGGCCACCATTGATGAATGACATCCTTCAAATGGATGAGCACAATATCTTGACTTGTGTGGTTTCGTATTTCATCCAGTTTAGCTGGGCTAGCGGGCAAGGTGTGGCTAATGGCATCAACTTCAAGTAGCGGTGTTTCTGAGTCCTCGTCGGGGGATTCCATGCTGCAGACTCTGGATAGGGCATCTGCTACAACGTTTCTTTTGCCTTGAATGTATTTCATTTCCACGTTGTATTTGGACATCTTCAGGAGGAGCCTCTGGAGGGCGTGGTGATGCACTGGGTATGTTCTTCTTCCATATGCTTTCAAGCGGTTTGTGGTCTGTTTCTACAACCACTTACTTACCAATGACGTAGTGGCTGAGTCGCTCTAAGGACTAACAGGCAGCTAAAAGTTCTCTTTCAATGTTGCTGTATCGGTATTCTGTATTGCTGAGTGATCGGCTTGCATAGCACACCGGTTTACCGTCTTGTATGAGTACACACCCAAGTCCTTTTAAGATTGCATCTGACTGGATCACATTGTCTTTTTCTGGATCATAATAGGCCAGCACTGGTGTTTCGGTGATTATTTGTTTGAGACTTTGAAATGCTTTGTGATGCTCTTGTTGCCATACAAAGGGTGTGCCTTTCTTCATCAGTTGCCTCAGGGGCTCTGAGGTCTGGGCCATGATCAGGGAGAATCTGTTCAGGTAGTTGACCATCCCCATGAAGGTCTGCAATTCGGCTAGATTCTGTGGGGAAGGCATGTCTCTGATAGCCTTAGTCTTGAGATCATCAGCTCTTAGAACATCTGGAGTCCACGTAAACCCAAAACAGGATGTTTGGTCAACTTTAAACTGAAACTTATCCGGGTTGAATCGTATGTTGTTCTCCCGTGCTGTGTCAAGGACATTCAGTATGTGCTGATCGTGCTCTGCTTCGCTCTTGCCGTAAACAAAGGTATCGTCTGCAATACCACTCAGGCCATCAAGGTTTCCAAACACATTGTCCATTTTCTCTTGGAACACGTCTCCACTGCAGGTAAGTGCGAAAGGCAGCCTCTTCCATCTGTATTTGCCCCATGGAGTACTGAAAGTGCAAAGTTTGCTGCTCTCGTCGTCCAGTTCAACTTGCCAGAATCCGCTTCGGGCATCAAGGATACTAAAGTGGCAGGCGCCACTGACCTTGGGTATCACATCATCTATGGTTCTCACATAGTAAGGGGTGCGCTGAATGGCTTTATTGAGGTCACGGAGGTCTAGGCATAAGCGGATCGTGCCGCTGGGCTTTCTTATGACCACTGTTGAATTGACCCATGGTGTATACTCATCATGTATTTCAACTAAAATGCTTGCCTGTGTTAGCCGTAGAAGTTCTTCTCGGTAGGCACTTTGCAGGTGGACTGGAATCTGCCGTGGGGGGTGTTGTACTGAGGGAATATCCGACTTAGTTTCTATGTGGTATAGGGGGCCAGGGAAACAGCCAAGTCCAGTAAAGAGATCTTGATACTCTTTCAGAAGGTATTCTTTCGTCAGTGGGAAAGGATGTGGCTTACCACGTGCGTCGAATAGTTTGAAGGACTGACTGGTTGATTTGCTGCTACTTTCAACAGCGACGGCCCAATTAAGTTTCTGAAGATTCAGACTTTGGGTTGATATGTTACCAATGATGGGAGGCCCATCGACATCTACAACTTCCGCCTGGATTACTTTGGGTTTTGGGTTGTTAGGGCCCTTTACGTAAACTCGGCAGGAGCCTAAGTTTGGGATTTCAGTTCCACCATCTGCTGTTAGCTTGGTGGTAGGTTTCTGTAGATTCATAACCCTAGGGGCAAGTTGATTGTACAAGGATGTGGGTATGATGTTGGTTTCTGCACCAGATTCTATCTTACATAGGACGGGTGTCTGTTTTCCTGCTGGGCCCAGTGATAGGGAGACTTCCAAGAGGGATTTCTCTTTAGAAGAGATGGCATGGACACTCCTGGTAAAGGGTGTTACACCAATTGGGCCCAGAAATATGTGATCATTAGGGTTTGGTACGGACTCGCTTGCACTATTACTTGTAGCTTCAATGTCATGCACATCTTTCTTTTTTAATTTGATAGGCATACCTTAGCTAGGTGTCCTACTTTATGACAATAATGGCATGTGGCTTTCTTCGCTGGACACTGATCTCTGGAATGAGGACCCCAGCCGCAATTCCTGCCAGCCTGGGATTTACCTGAGCCAGTGTTTTGTCGCTGATTTTTGAGGTCTTGGTATCCTTTAGGTGCATTGATGGAGTGTACTTCGGTATTCATTAACTGAACCTGTTTTTCTGCTGACTCTTCTGACTTGGCCATCTCACGAGCTGCGTTAAACGTGAGAGCATTTCCAACCTTGAAGCAGTCCTTACGTAGGCGGTCAGATTTCATACCCAGCACAAGAAAATCTCTAAGGAAACGATCGTTGTGTTCGACTGGATAGTTGGCTTCCTTCACAAGAATTCTTAGTTTCGCAATACATTCTTCAAGAGAGAGAGAGTACCTTGTCGAAGGTTATAAAGCTCCCACGCTGCTATTAACTCATTTGAGTGTGGTTTCACGAAGTGCTCAAATCTTTCCCAGTAGTTGTCCAGCTTTTTCCGCTCGTCTGCAGACAGATCACAGCTGTTGAACAGTTCGATACCTTGCTCTCCCGACCAGTACAACAAATGTTTGCATTTGATTTCCTCGTCCATTTTAGCCATCGGCCCGGTGAATAGCAATTCGCATCTTTGTTTCCACATTTTAAACCGGCTGTATAGGTTTTCATCTGTACTCCAGTCAATTGACGGGCCTTTGTCGATGAAGGACACAGTCGCCATGTTGTTTGTTTCACTGGTTCGCTGAAGCTTTTAAGACTTACGCCAGTCACCTGAGCTAAATTGCTGTCCACATCAACAGTGAAAATCCTTTCTTTTCCAATCCCGCTCCTGACACCATGTAAAAGGATATGCAGCTTTTTGGAAATTTTATTTAGTTATCTAAGATCAGGGAAAATAAACTTTATGTCCCGAACATGTGCTTAGTCTCCTAACTGCGCATGCGCTAGACCATTGCGTAATCTTAGCTAATGTAACAGTCTTGGCTAGAGGGGGGTGGGAATGTAAGAGAGGGTCTTTGTTAGATGGGGATGAGAATATAAGAGCAGGTTTTGGCTAGAGGGTGGTGGAAATGTAAGAGCGGGTCTTTGTTAGAGGGGGGATGAGAATATAAGAGCAGGTCTTGGCTAGAGGAGGGGTGGGAATGTAAGAGAGGGTCTTTGTTAGAGGGGGGATGAGAATATAAGAGCAGGTCTTGGCTAGAGGAGGGGTGGGAATGTAAGAGAGGGTCTTTGTTAGAGGGGGGATGAGAATATAAGAGCAGGTTTTGGTTAGAGGGGGTGGAAATGTAAGAGCGGGTCTTTGTTAGAGGGGGGATGAGAATATAAGAGCAGGTCTTGGCTAGAGAGGGGTGGGAATGTAAGAGAGGGTCTTTGTTAGAGGGGGGATGAGAATATAATAGCAGGTCTTGGCTAGAGGGGGTGGGAATGTAAGAGAGGGTCTTTGTTAGATGGGGGATGAGAATATAAGAACAGGATTTGGCTAGAGGGGGGTGGAAATGTAAGAGAGGGTCTTTGTTAGATGGGAATGATAATATAAGAGCAGGTCTTGGCTAGAGAGGGTGGGAATGTAAGAGAGGGTCTTTGTTAGATGGGGGATTAGAATATAAGAAGAGGATTTGGCTAGAGGGGGTGGAAATGTAAGAGAGGGTCTTTGTTAGATGGGGATGAGAATTTAAGAAGAGGTCTTGGTTAGAGGGGGGTGGGAATGTAAGAGAGGGTCTTTGTTAGATGGGGAATGAGAATATAAGAGCAGGTTTTGGCTAGAGGGGGGTGGAAATTGTTGTCGTTGAAGTTCATTTATTTCTTTTAGCAGGTTGATTAATTTGGCAGCTGTAATAGCTGATGTGGACCTGCTGTCCTAACCCACTAAATGTAAGAGAGGGTCTTTGTTAGAGGGGGGATGAGAATATAAGAGCAGTTCTTGGCTAGAAGAGGGGTGGAAATGTAAGAGAGGGTCTTTGTTAGAGGGGGATTAGAATATAAGAGCAGGTTTTGGCTAGAGGGGGGTGGAAATGTAAGAGCGGGTCTTTGTTCGAGGGGGGATAAGAATATTAGAGCAGGTCTTGGCTAGAGGGGGGTGGAAATGTAAGAGAGGGTCTTTGTTAGAGGGGGATGAGAATATAAGAGCAGGTCTTGGCTAGAGGGGGGTGGGAATGTAAGAGAGGGTCTTTGTTAGATATGGGATAAGAATATAAGAGCAGGTCTTGGATGGAGGAGGGGTGAGAATGTAAGAGAGGGTCTTTGTTAGAGGGGGATGAGACTATAAGAGCAGGTTTTGGCTAGATGGGGTGGAAATGTAAGAGAGGGTCTTTGTTAGAGGGGGTATGAGAATATAAGAGCAGGTTTTGGCTAGAGGGGGGTGGAAATGCAAGAACGGGTCTTTGTTAGAGGGGGGATGAGAATATAAGAGCAGGTCTTTGCTAGAGGGGGGAGGGACTGTAAGAGAGGGTCTTGGTGAGAGGAGGGGTGGGAATGTAAAAGCAGGTCTTGGTTAGAGGGGGATGGAAATGTAAGGGCGGGTCTTGGATATACAAAGGGGAGTTGAAATGTAAGGGCGGGTCTTGAATAGAAGGGGGTGCGGTGAAAATATAAGGGCGGGTCTTGGATAGAAGGGAAATATAAGAGCAAGCAAGACTAGAGGGGGCTATGGCAGTAGTGAAGACCTTATGTGCACGTTTACTTCTATTTTTATTTACTATTTCTATTTTTAATTGTTGTCTCATTGTCAATCAAATTAGTTTTACGTATTTCCGCAATCACATCATACAGCTATCTAAGTA